GACACCGGTGTTCTGTCGAACCGGTGGAACAAAATCGTCACTCCCAGAATAACTACGCAAAATAACGATCTAAACTCGAACCATTCGAGCCACAATATTAACATAAAAATGACTTTCGTTGCATTTGACAATGATAAACTTACCGAAAAGCCGTGTTATTCTCGGTCACTAATTATAACGTCGGTATAATTCGCCATTTTATTTGAGTGTGTTTGCCACCTGACTCTGCCCGGTGACGTCATCATGTGCGCTATAGAAGGAGGTCTGTGATTCGTTGACTAAAATCGCCGATAGTGGGTCTCGTTGAAATCTCGTTACATAGGCATCGGATCAGATGTATGTAGGGCGGAATTAAAAAAAACACGAAATCAAAATCAAAGTAAAATGATAATAAAATAAAAAGGCATTAATAACAAAAGTAATAAAAAATAAAATTAAAATAAGTTTATAGCCAAAATAATTAAAGCCCGTACACTACATCAGATTTTAATCAGATTGCTTCAGAGGGCACCATATATTACAAGTATTTGTTTTTCCAATCACCTCTAGAGGGCGCTGTAGATTACAAGCGTTTGTTTATGATAATCACCTCCAGAGGGCACCATATATTACAAGTATTTGGCTGGTTCCCGCCTCAAGTGTCATGGCGTACCAAGCCACAAGAGGCCGGTAACTAGTAATGAATCCGGCATTCTGATTGGTCCATCACTTTCTCGTTGCTTGTTCTATTTCTCTCTGTCACCTGACGTCAGCGCTTACGCTCGTGGCCGTTCAGGGGTTTCCTTTTACTTTCGAAAGTTGGGTGAATAAAAAACTGTTTCTTTTGTTATAAATTTTCACAGAAACAGCGAGGAATGTCAGAAACATCTCAAATGTGTAAATCTAAGCAGGCAGTATGTTTGAGAATGGCTTTATTGTAGTATTATAGACATGTTTACGCAGAACGGAACTTGGAATGTTTTCAAATTACGTCACTCAGTCACGTGCCTTCCGGCCGGAAAACCGGCCCAAATGGAACAATATGGCGATTACTAGTTACCTGCATCCTACTGGCCATTCGCAAAGGACGCCGGGAACCAGCGAATTACAAGTATTTGTTTTTTCAATCACCTCTAGAGGGCGCTGTAGATTACAAGCGTTTGTTTATGATAATCACCTCCAGAGGGCACTATATGTTACAAGTATTTTTTTTTCAAATTACCTCCAGCAGGTGCTGTAGATTGTTTTTTAATAACCTTCAAAAAGTATTTATTTTTTTAAATTGCCTACAGAGGTTGCCTTCTATTCCAGCAGCATTTCTGCTTTAACTTTAGTATGATATAAATATTAAAAAGACACCACTTCATTTCTTGTTTATTTTATTTTAGCTGTGTGGTCTAGGAAAGATGAGAACCAATACCTTGTTTCTTGGATTTAAAAATAACTGGTTAACTGATGATGCTGAAAAAGTTGAAGAATATGTCAATATCATACAGTGAGTTTGACCTGACTGATCCCATTTCATTCACCCATATTAAGCACACTTCTAATTACTTTGGTTCTTTCTTTCATATCTGTAAAGGGGGAAAATTCACTGGGTTTCATATTATCAGAAACCTACTGTAAAGGGGGAAAAATCACTGGGTTTCATATCACAAACTGGGTTTCATATCAGAAACATACTGTAAAGGGAGAAAATTCACTGGTTTCATATCACCATCTGGGTTTCATATCAGAAACATACTGTAAAGGGGAAAAATTCACTGGGTTTCATATCAGAAACCTACGTAAAGAGGGAAAATTCACTGGGTTTCATATTACAAACTGGGTTTCATATCAGAAACATACTGTAAAGGGGGAAATTCACTGGGTTTCATATCAGAAACATACTGTAAAGGGGGAAAATCACTGGGTTTCATATCAGAAACATGCTGTAAAGGGGGAAAATTCACTGGGTTTCATATCAGAAACACACTGTAAAGGGAGAAAATTCACTGGGTTTCATATCAGAAACATACTGTAAAGGGAGAAAATTCACTGGGTTTCATATCACCATCTGGGTTTCATATCATAAACATACTGTAAAGGGGAAAAATTCACTGGGTTTTATATCAGAAACCTACGTAAAGAGGGAAAATTCACTGGGTTTCATATTACAAACTGGGTTTCATATCAGAAACATACTGTAAAGGGTGAAAATTCACTGGGTTTCATATCAGAAACATGCTGTAAAGGGGGAAAATTCACTGGGTTTCATATTACAAACTGGGTTTCATATCAGAAACATACTGTAAAGGGAGAAAATTCACTGGGTTTCATATCACCATCTGGGTTTCATATCAGAAACATACTGTAAAGGGGAAAAATTCTCTGGGTTTTAAATCAGAAACCTACGTAAAGAGGGAAAATTCACTGGGTTTCATATTACAAACTGGGTTTCATATCAGAAACATACTGTAAAGGGTGAAAATTCACTGGGTTTCATATCAGAAACATGCTGTAAAGGGGGAAAATTCACTGGGTTTCATATCAGAAACATGCTGTAAAGGGGGAAAATTCACTGGGTTTCATATTACAAACTGGGTTTCATATCAGAAACATACTGTAAAGGGGGAAAATTCACTGGGTTTCATATCAGAAACATGCTGTAAAGGGGGAAAATTCACTGGGTTTCATATCAGAAACATACTGTAAAGGGGGAAAATTCACTGGGTTTCATATCAGAAACATGCTGTAAAGGGGGAAAATTCACTGGGTTTCATATCAGAAACATACTGTAAAGGGGAAAAATTCACTGGGTTTTATATCAGAAACCTACGTAAAGAGAGAAAATTCACTGGGTTTCATATTACAAACTGGGTTTCATATCAGAAACATGCTGTAAAGGGGGAAAATTCACTGGGTTTCAAATCACCATCTGGGTTTCATATCAGAAACATGCTGTAAAGGGGGAAAATTCACTGGGTTTCATATTACAAACTGGGTTTCATATCAGAAACATACTGTAAAGGGGAAAAATTCACTGGGTTTTTTATATCAGAAACCTACGTAAAGAGGGAAAATTCACTGGGTTTCATATTACAAACTGGGTTTCATATCAGAAACATACTGTAAAGGGGAAAAATTCACTGGGTTTTATATCAGAAACCTACGTAAAGAGGGAAAATTCACTGGGTTTCATATTACAAACTGGGTTTCATATCAGAAACATACTGTAAAGGGTGAAAATTCACTGGGTTTCATATCAGAAACGTACTGTGAAGGGGGAAATTCACTGGGTTTCATATCAGAAACATGCTGTAAAAGGGGAAAATTCACTGGGTTTAAGTTGAGCTGATTTGAAGTTGCACTATGTTTTGAATTCACTGGTTTGTGAAGAAAACAATACATTTAATTGTTTAACTTTGTATATTCCCTAGGTTTAATTTAGTGCATTCAGCAAAATAAAGCATAAATAAAACCCAGCAAATAATCAAGTCCTATCCAGTATATGATGTCCTCCCACTAAATGACGGAATTTGTTTCTGAATTTGTCAACCAAAGCACCTAAATCATCAACAACCCAAATCAATGTATATATTAATTTACTTTTTATGCCCATACTGCATACTGGTCTAATAAATATGTCTTGATTTGGACAAACAAAATTTGAAACAAATGAAAAAAAATTTTCCATCTTTTTCTAGGAGTTCAGTAAGATGTTATCCATACATAGTTGATTTATAGGCTAATGTAGGCTTAGTGAGAAGCTGACAAATCTTGCTGGCAATTATGTCATGGATTGTTTTTTTATCTTTGTAGTTCTGCATTTGATTTATATTATGCTGTGTGTATCTTGAGAATAAAAGAAGGTTTGGATATATCAGCTGCTTTAGAAGATATTGACGGATACAGTGCTGCATGTGGTGAGTTTTCTGCCATATTTATTTTGTTTATAATCAAATTTGTTTACCACAAATTTTTACAGCAAATAGAATATGAGTTAAGGGTTAAGTCTTGTGTATTTTAGACAAGTAATATAATGTACCAATTTGTAAGCCCACATTTTTTTAATGAGTCAACTGATCGCAGATTTCTCATTTTTTAGAATCAACTGAAAGCAAAGCTAAAGTCCTTGAGGAGCTGTCTGAAAGTGACGAGGATGAAGAAATTGATACAGAATGTACATCTCCGAAGTTGAAGAGTAATGATGAGGTGGCTGTTCCAATGATTGCGAGTAGTACACAGCTAGTGAAAGGCGAACAAATACGTGACGTTATAAAGACATTGAAGAAATTCCAAGAAAAACAAGGCAAAGGAACTATTGATGTTTGGTGGCTGTTTGATGATGGTGGTGAGTTCATGTCGCACCTTATTTGATAATACCAATTGATTCCTTATTTGGTAATAGCTTTTGCAAGATGCTGATTAATTCTGTATTTGGGAATAATTCTTTTGTACTTATGTTAACGAGTTTCTTATTTGATAAATATTTCATGTAAGTTACGAAATTTCTTATTTGGTATTCTGTGACTATTCTGATGAATTCCTTATTTGGTATTTTTTGTATTGCAGTTCTGCTTATGAAATCCTTATTTGGTATTCTGTGACTATATTCTAATGAATTACTTATTTGGTAATTATTCTGTTGCAGTTCTGCTTATGAATTCCTTATTTGGTATTCTGTAACTATATTCTGATGAATTCCATATTTGGTAATTATTCTGTTGCAGTTCAGCTTATGAATTTCTTATTTGGTATTTAGTGACTATATTCTGGTGAATTCCTTATTTGGTAGTTATTGTGTTGCATTTCTGCTTATGAATTCCTTATTTGGTATTTTGTGACTATATTCTGATGAATTCCATATTTGGTAATTATTGTATTGCAGTTCTACTTATGAATTCTTTATTTAGTATTCTGTGTGACTATATTCTGATGAATTCCTTATTTGGTAATTATTGTGTTGCAGTTCTGCTTATGAATTCCTTATTTGGTGTTCAGTGACTATATTCTGGTAAATTCCTTATTTAGTAGTTATTGTGTTGCATTTCTGCTTATGAATTCCTTATTTGGTATTTTGTGACTATATTCTGATGAATTCCATATTTGGTGTTTATTGTGTTGCAGTTCTGCTTATGAATTCCTTATTTGGTATTGTTTGACTAATCTGATGAATTCCCTATTTGGTAATTTTTGTATTGCAGTTCTGCTTATGAATTCCTTATTTGGTATTCTGTGACTATTTTCTGATGAATTCCTTATATGAATTCTTTTATTTAGTATTCTGTGTGACTACTCTAATTATTATTTAGTATTCTGTGTGACTACTCTAATTAATTACTTATTTGGTAATTATTGTGTTGCAGTTCTGCTTATGAATTCTTTATTTGGTATTCTGTGACTATATTCTGATGAATTCCATATTTGGTGTTTATTGTTTTGCAGTTCTGCTTATGAATTCCTTATTTGGTATTGTTTGACTAATCTGATGAATTCCCTATTTGGTAATTTTTGTATTGCAGTTCTGCTTATGAATTCCTTATTTGGTATTCTGTGACTATTTTCTGATGAATTCCTTATTTGGTAATTATTGTGTTGCAGTTCTGCTTATGAATTCCATATTTGGTGTTTATTGTGTTGCAGTTCTGCTTATGAAATTCCTTATTTGGTATTCTAATGAATTCCTTGTATTGGTAACTTCTAACATGGCTATGTGCCCCCCACCAATCAGATCCCCAGATTCACGATATATATTCTCTGTATATAAAACATGGCTTTGTCAGCTAATTTTGATTGACTGTACCGCACAAAACAAATATAATTGAATAAATTGTTTCCATGTTAGAAGCCAGTTATCAAATGACACTATCTTTATACATGGTTATATCTAAATAAAACTTACATGGCAGTGAGTTTGGGGATTCATTCTTGTTTAAATTTGCTCATTCTCAACACAATAATAAGTTACAAAATTATTTTAAAAAGTTATTGTCAAGATATGTGCTCATTAGTAATAATTTTATGAATTTTTCAGGAATCAGTCATCAGATGTCCCCTCCCCTTTTTTAATCTCCTGTGGAAGTAATGAGTTTGGTGTACCTGTATCTTGAGATAATTTGCAGACATTCGAGGCCATGTCTATGCATACTAAGTAGCTAATTTGCATACTTAATTATCTCCTTCTCAGCCTGTTTAAACAAAATCTAAAACTTATGAACAGATTTAGATCAAATTTGTTATATATTGGTGCTGAACATCTGTAGGCTGATAATGCTAGCTTCTAATGCCACTGCTCCTTCTCTGAACGCAGAGTACAACTTTGATTTTTTCTTTGTGATACTTCAATTTTTAGCCACTTATATATTCTACATTCACAGGCTTGACTTTACTCATACCATACTTAATATCCTTGAGATCCCAATGGGATGGATGTAAACTGCGGGTGTTCACCAGTGGTAAAAGAAATCAGATTGACAGGGATAAAATGAAGTAAGTAATTATAATAATATGAGGTTATTATTTTATTATTTTGTTCGAACTTGGTACATACATTAGATATTACAGGTTCCTGATGCACTTATGTTATTTTTTAGATCAGATTCAGAATGGCTGACTAGTGGCCATTTTGTTTTAATGAATTGGCTTCTAGAGCCATATCTCTGACATGCTCTGACTGACTATGTTCAAATTTTATATATTCATTATACATGTATTCAAAATGGCTGATTTTGTTTTAATTAATGCTGTTGCAGAGCAATATCTTTCAATACACGTTTGACGATCAGATACAAATTCAATCATTTAAATGTTAAACAATCATCATATTCCTGACATGTTTATATTCCAGCTATATTACTATAAACTAAACCAAATATCTTAAATTTGATAACTAACGGGGACTGTCTCATGCATGGCTTGTTATTATTGTTATTATACATCTTTTCCTTCCAATGATATATCATTGAAATGTCAAAATCAAAAAAGTTTAGAACAGAATCAGCAAACTTCTTTGTGTAGAGTCAGGTCAAACCCTGGTGGCAGCCATGTTTGTTTTTATTATCAGAGGACGCTTATGCACGTAATCGCATTTCGCATTCGCATTTTCTTATATGGTAAAATGAAAATACCTCGTAAAACAGGGCACATTGTAACCTATTGCATTACGTTGACAGATGTATAATAATAATCCATAAATACAGATAAAAATGTGTGTATTAAATCTATATTTGTTGCCTAATTGGCAGGCCCTCTAGAGATGCAATTAAAATAAAAGATAAACCTCTCGGTGCTGATGTTACATGAAAAAGGTCCACATTTCTTCAATTTTTTGCACCAATCAGCTACATTCTGTTGAAAAATAATAATTCTGAAATATACTTGTGTAAGTATATTTTTAAAGCTATACATATGTATGCATTGTT